GAACGTGGTCATGGAGGCTGTGAATGCTGAGGGTGGGGTGATGTGCCAGGTGGACATTGGGTATTACAGCAGATCCTCTGGAGATCTCCGAATTGATCCTATGGATAGTGAGAGGGTGGAAATCTCTTCTGGGCAGGATTGTGGAGATAGTTATTTTAGAGTTTGGGAAACTCTGCGTAGCCTTTTGCGCCACTCTCGTCACAGATTCAGCTACTCTCTCTTGCTCTATATGAAGGTTGTTAGTTCCTGTGTGCACAATTATGTGGCTTGGTTCTCCCAGTTTGGCCTTTGTGAGAACATCAAGTGCATTATCTGTTCTTGGGCACCATATTTTTTTTACTTTTTGTCCGGGGAAGAGTTGTTCTTCATCTAAGAATTTTCCATTTGAGTCAATAAGAATTATTACTTCAGCATCAGTCGTTTCTGTGTCGGTTTGTTATTTTGATTGTGGAAGGAGGAATATTGTCTAGCTGGTAGATGGCTGTGGCTCCTGCTGGGGCGCTGGGCCATTGGTGAATGGTTTCAATGTGGGGTTTGGTGAGGTTTTACTGGATGATGGTTGTGGGCTAGGCTGGAGCAGAAGGCTGCTGGTTGAAGGCCTTGGCTCAGTGAGTTGTGTGTTACTCGTGGCAGGTTGGGGTCGCTGCAGTGCTGTGGCTGTGAGGCTCTGGAGCTGCTCTTTCAGGCCCAGGATGGTTTGGTGTTTGAGGTGCAACTCCTCTTTTACTGCTGTTATTTCTTTCTTTAGAATGTCCCTGTCCTCCTGTAGGACAGTCACTTCTCCTCTTAGTTGTTGTATGGACGTTTTAAATTCTTTCTTTAACTGGCAGAGTTCATCCTTAATCTGCTGAAATGATTCACTGGATGGTGAGTGAGAAAGTGTTTCTCTCATCTCCACTATCTCTACCTCCTGTAGAGATATACTCTCTCTGAGAAGGGTCATTGTTCCCTGCAGCTTGTCTTCAGGCTGCAGCTCCTGCTCCTCTCTGAGAAGGGTCACTGTTCCCTGCAGCTTGTCTTCAGGCTGCATCTCCTGTTCCCCTCTGAGAACGGTCACTGTTCCCTGCAGCTTGTCTTCAGGCTGCAGCTCCTGCTACCCTCTGAGAAGGGTCACTGTTCCCTGCAGCTTGTCTTCAGGCTGCAGCAGTCTCTCTGAGACCTGGGTAACGCTGCTAGCTTTCTCTTTGTTTTGTGTCTTTGTTAGTGCCTTAATAATAAGGAAATGTTCTTGGACTAAGGTCAGACTGGCCTGGCTCCCTTGGAACATGATTGTTCCATTATGGTAAATGTTTACCGTCATCATAGTGTTGTCCCTGTCATCATCATCTCCAATGAGAACCTGTCTGCCACTACATATTCCTCTCTTTTTTATGGTCTTTATAGTGGGAACAAATTGCTTTATGCCAGGATTCAGTGTTGTCGGTATACAGCAGGAGGTTACAGATTACTATCTTGTCTCCTTGGTGGCTGTAGTCGGCTGTTAATGTCTCTGGGTTATCTCTTAGAAGTTTAAGTTTGAAAGCTTTCTTTGCCTGTGCACTTTTTACCTCCTTTGGGTATTCAAGTGCAAGGGGGAGGGGCTTCCCGACTGTTGCATCAGCCATGGTGCTCTTCTTTGTTGTTGCTTAGCACGCTAGTTAGCAGATAGCAAATTTAGGCGCAATTCCTTAGTATCGGTTAGTATAAATGTCTCTTTCATCAGATAAGAGGCAAATATTATTTTCAATCTTCTGTCTTCTGATGAATACTCTGTAGTTCTTATTTTAATTTTTCAAGTAGTTGCTGGCTGCCTACCTGCCTGGTTTATTGTGTTAGCTTGTCCTAGCTTGACCTAGCTTGTCCTAGCTTCTCCCTTATTCTTCTTTGTTTTCTTGTAGGTTGTTTTCCAAACTCTTGTTTTCGTTGGTTATCCTCTGCAATGTCTTTTCCTTGAAGTTATTATTTCATATTTGTGGGTTTATCTGATTTTAAAACTGCTTATTTTTGTATATCTCTTTAAGAGCTTAAGATTGCCATGTCATAGCTCTCTCTCTGTCTGTCTGCCTGGACTGGAGCAATAGCTAATGGGTACATGTATCTTCAAGACTATAATAACAAGATAAAACATATATATTTTACATTGTGAGTTTAAGTCCAGTTATCCAACGAGAAGCCACATCAAAGAAGAGTGCACTGGCAACAACAGACTGGTAGAAGATCTCCAACAACAGACAGCTGTTTGGGTTTATTGATAAAACCGAGACTTCACGGCCAGATGCGGCGTTCGTTGTGGCCGGAGATTTCAACACCGCCAACATGAAGAAGGTTTTGCCAAAATATTACCAACACATCAACTTCCCGACGCGCGGGGGAAACATACTGGACCATGTTTATTCCCCTTTCCGGAATGGATATAAGGCTCTCCCTCGCCCTCCCTTCGGCAAATCAGACCATATCTCACTACTGTTGTTGCCTGCTTACAAGCAGAAACTTAAAAGGGACAGACCGATAACAAGGACAGTACAACGATGGAGCGAGGAGTCAGATTCAGCACTGCAGGATTGCTTTGCATCTACGGATTGGAGTGTGTTTGAGGACAATAACATCAACACACACACGGACACTGTCATCTGCTACATTGGGAAATGCATCGATGACGTGGGTACCGAAGGTTTCTGTACGGACATTCCCAAATCAAAAGCCCTGGGTAAACGGTTTGAGGTGCGCAGCAAACTGAAAGCGCGCACTCTCGCGCACACAGCGGGAGATTTGGAGGAGTACAGGAAGTCTAGGTATGATCTCCGGGAGAGCAATAAAAAATGCAAAGAGACAGTACAAAGAGAAGGTGGAATCTGACTTCAAAGGCTGTAACACTAGGAATATGTGGGCGGGACTAAGGACAATGACTGACTTCAAAGGAGCAGCGGGGGGTGCTGCGGGAGTGTCTGCGTGCGCATCTCTCCCAGATGAGCTAAACAGTTTTTTTGCACGCTTTGAGAGCAGCCAGGCTGTGGAGGTACAGAGGGACCAGGAGCTACACTGCCCTTTTGTTTTAAATAGGGCAGATGTGTGTAAATCCTTTAAAAGGGTTAACCCACACAAGGCTCCTGGACCTGATGGCATCCCTGGCCGTGTTCTCAGGGTGTGTGCAGTTCAGCTGGCAGAGGTGTTCACAGACATCTTCAACAGGTCCCTGCTGCAGTCTGTAGTCCCCACATGTCTTAAACACTCCACCATCATTCCTGTCCCCAAAAAGACAATCATCACCTGCCCCAACGACTACCGCCCAGTAGCACTCACCTCCATCATAATGAAGTGCTTTGAGCGGTTAGTCAAATTATTCATCACCTCCTCCCTCCCTGAATCTCTGGACCCCCTGCAGTTTGCCTACAGAGCAAACAGGTCCACAGACGACGCCATAGCCCTCACCCTCCCCACTGCCCTCTCACACCTGGACCCGAAGAACAGGAACACATATGTGAGAATGCTGTTCATTGACTACAGTTCAGCATTCAACACCATTGTGCCCTCCAAGCTGGCCATCAAGCTCAGAGACCTCGGGCCTCAACAGCGCCCCTCTGCGACTGGATCCTGAACTTCCTGACGGGCAGACCCCAGGCAGTGGGGGTGGGAAACATCACATCCTCCACCCTGATTCTTAACACCGGTGCCCCTCAAGGCTGCGTGCTCAGCCCTCTCCTCTACTCCCTGTTCACCCACGACTGCGTGGCCACACACAGCTCCAACACCATCGTGAAGTTTGCTGATGACACGACCGTCATCGGCCAGATCACAGACGATGACGAGACGGCGTACAGAGAGGAGGTTGAAAACCTGACATCTTGGTGCCAGGAGAACAACCTCCATCTCAACATCAGCAAAACAAAGGAGCTGATTGTGGATTACAGGAAGCAGCAGGGAGAGGGACACGCCCCCATCGCCATCAATGGGACTACGGTGGAGAGAGTCAAAAGCTTCAGGTTCCTTGGGGTCCACATCACTGAGGACCTGACATGGTCTCTTCACACCACCACCATCACCAAGAAAGCTCGACAGCGGCTCTTCTTCCTCCGCAGGCTGAGGAGGTTCAAATGGATTCCAGGATACTCTGCAACTTCTACAGGTGCACGATAGAGAGTATCCTCACTGGCAGCATGACGGCCTGGTACGGCAGCTGCACCGACCTCGATCGTAAGGCTTTACAGAGGGTGGTGAAAACTGCACAGCACATCACCAGGACGGAGCTGCCATCCATGGAGGACCTTTACTCCCAGCGGCTCAGGAAGAAATCACTACGGATTATCAAAGACCCCCCATCACCCCAGCCACAAACTGTTCTTTCTGTTGCCGTCTGGCAGACGTTACCGCAGCATCCGGGCAAGGACAAGAAGATTCGGAGACAGTTTCTTCCCGCGGGCAGTGAGACTGTTAAAAAATTGAACTGTTGAAACAACTTCAAACATTCAACTGCTACTCAGTAGTATGTATCTAATACCTAATATATATATATCATTCCAATAACTTGTATATAGACTCATACTGCACTATTCCACATCATAACTTTATTTCATTTTTATAACTATTATTATTTTTGTATTGCTCTTGCTCTTATTGTTATTATGTTATGTTATTATGTTGCATTGTTGGAGAAGCCTGTGACATAAGATTTTCAACTGCATAATTACTCTGTAGCTATGTCAGATTGACAATAAAGAACCTTGAACCTTGAACCTTGGTAGAAGATCACCAACAACAGACTGGTAGAAGATCTCCAACATCAGACTGGTAGAAGATCTCCAACATCAGACTGGCAGCAGATCTCCAACATCAGACTTGTAGCAGATCTCCAACAACAGACTGGTAGAAGATCTCCAACATCAGATTGGTAGCAGATCTCCAACAACTTGCTGCAGCGATCCCGTAGGATTCTAGTACCTGTAGTGAGGTGTGACCCTACCTAAGTGTCAGTGTGGCAGTCGTGCAATCTTACCCTAAATCAGGAGAGGACAGCGCAGAATTCATTTAGGTTACCCCAGTCCAAATGGGTGGGATGGTTTTATTTGAAGAAATGGTCCACACTCTAACACCGTTTTTTACTTTATCTGGTTACAATGGGACAGTTATACAATGTCTTACTCTCTGGTATTAATTATGAATTTACCGGTTTACTTTTTTTCCTTTTTGTTAAAACTCCCTGCATATCTCCAGAGGTATTTCCTCACGATGACAGCGGGTAATACGACCTAGGGAGAAATTCCCAGTTAAGAACCCTAAGACCTGTTTCCCTCTCTCAGCTGCTGCTTTTATATCATACCAGCAGAAGCAGAAGTGAATACACACCAACAGACCCATGTATGTGGAGAAGAGTCATTGCTTCCTGGACATGTCCAGACTTGCCTCAAAGGCTAAACTAAAGCTTACAGTAATATTCCATTGAGTCAGGGGCCTCCTGCTGTGAGTAAGGGTGTCTTCCCTCTGCTGAATAGTGACACCTTTAGTGATAAACTATATCAGACCTTACACTCTTTCATGTCAGTTTACCAAACCGTGTACATTTAGTATATAAGTATAGAGCTTCGTGATATATCATGCATTTTACATTGTGGATTATATTAATGTTCGTTTTAATTATATGACCCAATATGGAAACCTCCTCAGTCTCTGGTTGTAAATGTTGCCGGTTCTGGTCCTCCACAGTCCTCTCTTTACTTGGACCAAACATTTTTCATCACAAACAGTCAAGTTATCGCTTTATATACGACTTACTAGGACTTACCAAAAGAGTTTAAACCTAACAATCAGCCCTGTCTTCAGTGTCAGGTTCAGAAGAGTCTCCAGGGTTGTCCTCAGTCTCTGGTTGTAAATGTCTCTCTGGATCTGAGTTCCTGGCTGGTTCTGGTCCTCCACAGTCCTCTCCATCAGCTTCTGTTTCCAGGTGTTCAGTTTGTCTTTGATGAAGCTGAGAGGACTGAGGTTTCTCTTCATCATCTTCACTCTTCACAGGGACAGGAGTGAATGTGGACTTGGTGATATCAGCCTCCTCCAGCCCTTGAAGCTGCTCTCCCTCCTGACTGCTCCAGAGTTCCACCTGTTCCTCTTTAATGTGTGGGGGGGGCTCTGGGTCCTCCTGGTCCAGACTAGAGCTCCACTCCTGCTGCTCAGGGGCAACCTCTTCTTTAACCACCACCAGCTGCTGGACGTCTGCAGGAAACAGGAAACCCACAGAGAGACGTTACAGAGAACAGCTGTTGTGTTCATTACGTCACCGCTCAAAGCCCCGTTTTGAACCCCTTGTTTGTATATTCCTAATTAATATCATGAATACCTATGGCTAATATCTTTTTACATTTATGCACCAACAACTATCGCAGAGAAAGGTAAGTGTAATTATAATTGGAGTGGTTTGGTACCCCTACATGTGGATACAGCTTGGGACCCGGATTGCCTTTTGTGTTTTTAAGGCAGCTCTAAATAGAGATATGAATGATTTAGAAGAGTAACTAGAGCGGTCAGTCAAATGAAGTGCAGTCATGGCCTTACCCCCCATTGAACTCAACGAGGTCCGGCCCTCTGTATTTTTTCTGAGGTGTAATAAAATAAAACACTGAAATGAACAGGGCTCTATTAGACTAAGTTGTTCCTTACTTACACTGCAGAGCGACAAGTTGGTTTCACTTGAGTGAATAAACGAGCAACATAGCTAAAGTTAATTACATTCATCAAATGTCTTGACATAAACAATTTAATTAAACATTGTCAACGTAAAAGTTTTCACCCTTACACTTCAAGATAAAAAAATGATTGCAAGGTTTTAGTCTGAGGCTCCTCATCTTCACCAGCTCTGCATGGAGAAGTTAGCGCTAACATCGTTGTTTTTAAATCTGAAGTCAAGGCATAATTTTAAAGGAATAGAACGGGGGGTTACGTATTGTAACCCTAGTTATATAAGCACAGGCTCCGCCCTCTACTGGACTCTATGGGTACTACTCTCTATCATGCTGTGCGTGCTTTCACCTACTGAATTTACGTAGGCAGGCGGGGAGAGTCCTCCAGCCCTGATTGCGCACCATGTCTCCCGAGTCCCTCAGGAGCATGGGAAAAAAAAGTGCTTTATGTCCGGGGGGGGGGGGGTCAGATACCTGCTGACCCACAGCCACCCCCCTCTCACCAGTCATGCGTTGCCTCGGCACGCACCGACGACGAGAAGGAGCCAGACATGTCCAGGAGATAACATTGCGCTTCTTTGAGAGGGCTTTTCCAGCCACACCATCCCCAAAGCACACAAACAGTTGTTCAGTGCGCCTAATGGCAGCCGTGCGCTCTACATAGCATGCTAGCGCACGCACTGGGCAGAGGAGGTGCAATTTAGCCTCCCTGGCCCCAATATGGGGTGGAAGATTAAAGCCACCTACTGAATAGCCCTTGATCTGAATGAAGTTCTGATACTCTTAGGAGTAAAGGAGTGGTTCGGCCTGAGTGTCGCCCCGCTACGGTCACCCCGGATCAAAAGACAACTTGGGTGTACCGACAGAGCGGTCAGCTCGGACACTCTTTTAGCCGAAGTCAAGGCAAGTAGCAACGCTGTCTTCCATGACAGTGCTTTCAGGGAGGAGAGCTCCAGAGGCTCAAATGGTTCTGTGACCAGAGCCTCGAGCACCAACGGCAGGTCCCACTGCGGGGCGGAGGCGTGCACTACTGGGCGCTGCATCCTGACCCCCTGCAAAAACCGCGCCATAAGCGGCTGACTGAAGGCTGACCTGCCTCCAAATCCCTCATGGCAGGACGAAATGGCTGCTGCATACACCTTAACTGTGGAATGAGCCAGCCCCCTGTCCACCAGTATCTGTAAATAGGTAATAATAGAGCCCAGCGTGCACGACAGAGGCTCTAGACTCCTTCCTTCACACCATCGCCGGAATCCCGCCCACTTTGGCCTGTAACAAGCTGTGGTGGATTCTGCTCTTGCTGCTTGGATAGTCTGAATAACGTTATCAGACAGCCCCACCTGTCTCAGCCTGTCCCTCTCAGGAGCCAAGCCTGGAGAGGTTGGCCCAGAGTGGGTAACGCCCCTATTGCACCTGCTTCCTGAGACAGCGCTCCCCAGACCTGAGGAATCGCCCAGGACTGGCCCACCATCATCTGTGTTACCCCCGCGTACCACGGCGCCAGGCGGCGATCTGGGGCCACCAGGATGATTGACAGCTGTTCCCGCCTCACCCTCTCCAGGAGGGGGGGGATAAGGTGCAGCGGTGGAAAGGCGTAAAGCAGCTTTCTTGGCCATGGCTCGTGTGCAAATGTGTCGACCCCCAAGGGCGGGTTGTCCCACCGAGCCAGGGAGAACCACAGGGCACAGTGGCTGTTGCGCTGATTGGCGAACAGGTCCACCTCCGCTGTACCGAACTGAGTCCAGACCTGCTTCACCACCTCCGAACGGAGGAGGGATGCTGCAAAACTGGAGTGAATAACCCAGTCTCAGTGTCCTGTCCATCCGCTCTGTTAATACACCACTGCTTTTCCATTCCCCATAACATTGTGTTAGGGGATGTGCAATCAGCTGCGGAGCCGCAGCTATGAAGCTGTGGTACTCTCTGGTGGCCCATTCCGCCGTCAAACCCTCCATAAAAGGAAGTTTGACACATGGGGGGCTGACACAGAAAGGGCAGTTTTTCTATAATGCAGTTTCCACTCAGAGAAAAAAACCGCAGATTTTTCACTGAGGTCCCTGAACGCACCACGGCACGCTCCCGTGAGAGCGCGCGCTCCGCCATAATGCTGTTTTCTCTTAGAGAGAAAGAGGCATTAATCGGAGCTTCTTCTGTCCATGAACGCACCGCGGCCCGCTCTCGGGGGGGGGCGCGCGTCGTCATAATGCCGTCTCTTTGAAACGGACATTATGGGGAAATGTGGAATGTAGAGAGAGATGACTCTTACTCTGGGATAAATGCAATCGTTTTTACTGAATGCATTTTACACACACATATCACTCTAGAACTAGAGTTACACTACGTAACCCACTGTTCTTCTGCGGAGGTCCCTGAACGCACCGCGGCCACTCTCACGGGGGCCGCGCCTCATAATGGGTGTCCAATTAACATCGTATGAAAACGGCCTTGCCGATCTCAACGAGACATTATGGGAAAATGTGGAATTGTGGAGAGATATGACTCTTACTCTGGGATAAATGCAATCGTTTTTACTGAATACATTTTACACACACACACATCACTCTAGAACTAGGGTTACTATATACGTAACCCACCGTTCTTGCAACAGGGCCTTTTTTCGACTTTCTGGAAACCTATCTCCTCCCAGGATGATAGATTTGCCTCTCTATTGCCCCTGAATGGAGGAGGGACGCCGCAAAGCTGGAGTGAGTAACCCAGTCTCAGTGTCCTGCCCCTCTACTCTGTCAGTACACAGCTGGGCTTCCATTCCCCACAAAACTGTGTTATGGGGACATGCCAGCAGCTGTGGAGCCACAGCTAAGAAGCTGTAGTATTCTCTGGTGGCCTACTTGGCATGGGGGCTGACACAGAAAACGGGCCGATTTTCTACTGAGGTTCTTGAACGAACCGCGGCAGCTCCCGTGGGGGCTGTCAAATGCCGTCTCTTTGAAAACTGACATTATGGTGAAAAGTGGAAATGTGGAGAGAGATGACTCTTACTCTGGGATAAATGCAATCGTTTTCACTGAATGCATTTCTCACACACACATCACTCTCTTGAACCCGCACAGTGCTTTGACAGCACTACGGTTTATTCCACTCACGTGCACCCGCCCACCTGCTGGCTCCTATACTGGAGTTTACAGAGGGGAGTGTGGGACAGTGTTCTTTCCTCTGGGGATGAGCAAGAAGCAGCCTACTCCTCACCCACGTGACCAAGGAGATCGATCCAAAGAGCCCTTCCGTAAACACGGGGGCTCCCAGGAGATCAACACGGTCCTTTTTGGAAAGTGCCATGCGGCGTGATCCCTCACCGGGATATCACACGGCAGACAACGGCGGCGGCCACGATCAAGCTACAAATAATCGCTCTGATCTGGTGAGGTGGCGGCATCTCCAGCGAGATGCCCAACACACCCGTGTTTATTTGCAGTCGCCCTAGGTGATGACCATGGCGGCGGACCTCCATGGACCGAACCCGGAAGTGGAGCAAACGGAGCCATCCGCCCCGCCATATCCTGGTCCCCCAAACACTCTAACAGAGGTGGTGGAGATCGGTGCCCGTGATCAAACCAGGGCAGGTGGGGCATGGCCGTCTCCTCTCCCCTCTGATGAGCTGCTGCTGAAGGGGGGGGGGGGGGGGGGGCATGCTGCAGGACTTCCGCCCCGTGTAGCGGGTGTCTGCAGGATCAGTAAATGAAATCCAACATTCAATGTTCTGGGGAGGACGTTGTTTACCCTGTCTGCACTGTGCAGCTCCTTCAGCGACAGGCTGCTGCACCCCCGCTGTCTCACGGAGAGATACCGCAGGTCCTTCCTTCCTGCAGCGATCAGACTATGTGCTAACTGTGCAATATATACCTGGCTGCTAAATCCTAAGAACTTTAAAAAGAAAAACGTTAATACTTTTGTATGCATGCTTCTACGTAACATTAAGCTGCCTTTGGCTCTTTTCTATTGTAACGACGTACATTTCCCCTCTGGAAAGTATCCTGATTGATTTGACCTGGGGGCACAACAACACGTTGTACATGATAGGCTAAGGGGCGGGACATCTCTAAGTGGTCAACCAATCACAACAGAGCCGGCCAGCTAACCATTCAGACCAGACTGGGCTCTGGTTTCAGACAGAGGGTGAAAAGAGGCAGTATGACAACAATAAAGAGCTTTTTTAACATTAATGCATGGAGACATGTCCCAGTGAAGACAACATACTAATACCAACCTGAACATGAACAGAAAATGTCATCCTTGTTGTCCTCAGTCTCTGGTTGTAAATGTCTCTCTGGATCTGAGTTCCTGGCTGGTTCTGGTCCTCCACAGTCCTCTCCATCAGCTTCTGTTTCCATGTGTTCAGCTGAGCTGCTGGCTGGAGGCTCTGCCTCTCTGTTCTCCTCAGTTTGATGAAGCTGTGAGGACTGACGACCAACACACTTGTGTCTTTTGACCTTTTCACTCCGGTTGAACTTTTTGTTACAAACACTGCAGCTGAATGGTTTCACTCCTGTGTGGATTCTCATGTGGTCCTTTAAACTTCCTCTCAATGCAAAAGATTTCTTACAAATTGAGCAGATGAATGGTTTCTCTCCTGTGTGGTTTCTCAAGTGGTCCTTTAAAGTTCCACTGTGTTTAAAAGATTTCTTACAGACTGAGCAGCTGAATGGTTTCTCTTCTGTGTGGTTTCTCATATGTCGTGTTAAAGGTGATTTCAGGGCAAAAGCTTGATCACAGACTGAACAGCTGAATGGTTTCTCTCCTGTGTGTATTCTCATGTGGTCCTTTAAATTTCCTCTCTGGGTAAAATATTTCTTACAGACTGAGCAGATGAATGGTTTCTCTCCTGTGTGGATTCTCATGTGGCCCTTTAAATTTCCTCTCTGGGTAAAATATTTCTTACAAAATGAGCAGCTGTATGGTTTCTCTCCTGTGTGGATTATCATGTGTTCCTTTAAACTTCTTCTATGTGTAAAAGCTTTCTCACAGACTGAGCAGCTGAATGGTTTCTCTCCTGTGTGGATTATCAAGTGTTCCTTTAAACTTCTTCTATGTGTAAAAGCTTTCTCACAGACTGAGCAGCTGAATGCTTTCTCTCCTGCACTACGTCTTGATTCACTGACAGGGTCTTGTTTATTTCTCTGAGAGTTTGAACCTGGTTCTCTGGTCTCCTTCCAATCTAAACTGTCTTCAGTGTCTTCAGAAGAGTCTCCAGGGTTGTCCTCAGTCTCTGGTTGTAAATGTCTCTCTGGATCTGAGTTCCTGGCTGGTTCTGGTCCTCCACAGTCCTCTCCATCAGCTTCTGTTTCCAGGTGTTCAGTTTGTCTTTGATGAAGCTGAGAGGACTGAGGTTTCTCTTCATCATCTTCACTCTTCACAGGGACAGAAGTGAATGTGGACTTGGTGATATCAGCCTCCTCCAGCCCTTGAAGCTGCTCTCCCTCCTGACTGCTCCAGAGTTCCTCCTGTTCCTCTTTAATGTGTGGGGGGGGCTCTGGGTCCTCCTGGTCCAGACTGGAGCTCCACTCCTGCTGCTCAGGGGGAACCTCTTCTTTAACCACCACCAGCTGCTGGACGTCTGCAGGAAACAATATTTAAATGTGACAAATACTATACACTTTATTTAAAGTGGAGAACTGTGCTGATTTAAAAGAGGAAGTGTGCAGAAGAGATGTGCAGCATGTGCAGGATTTACAATGTTAAAAAGAACACGGTGTTGTTGCCATGATGTGCATTAATGTAATGTTATTATGGGGTGGATAAAAGTCACTGGAAGAGGAAAGACTCCACAGCAGTGACTGGGGAGTCACACAGAGTGATGGGGGCGGGTGGGGCTGCGTTCTTCCTGAGGTCCACAACCATGTGTTTGAGACCATCCGTTGTGTTGTGCAGAGGTAGGGTTAGTGCACAGTGGAAAGCCCTATTTGACTACTGTTGTAATCCATATTATGGCAAGAACCACTCAACTCAGTAAAGAGAAACGACCGTCCATCATCACTTTAACACTAGAACCGCCAATCGGGTCAATTTGACCCAGAGCTGTTTTTTATTGTGTGTAACTTTTTTTCAATAAAATATTAAAGTCTTCCAGTCCTTGACTTTCCTGAAAGTGTGTTAAGTAGCACCCTATGTTGTTAAAAATTGTCAATATGAAGTCAGATTGAAGAAATCGCCCAAAAAATTGCCATTTATACCTATTTCCGCCCAGCGGGTCATATTGACCCCACCCCTTTTCATATAAACATGACGTGTTGCTATTGCAACGCATTTTGTCTACTGCGGTTCCTTATAGATTGAGAGATAGATTGAGAGAGAGATATATATATATATATATATATATATATATATAGATATATATAATATATATAGTATATATATATATATATATATATATATAATATATATATATATATATATATATATATATATATATATATATATATATATATATATATATATATATATTATATATATATATATATATATATATATATAATATATATATATATATATATATATATATATATATAGAGAGAGAGAGAGAGAGAGGAGGAGAGAGAGGAGAGAGAGAGAGAGATGAGAGAGAGGAGAGAGAGAGAGGAGAGAGAGGAGAGAGAGAGAGAGAGAGAGAGAGAGAGACTGACTGACTGACTGACTGACTGACTGACTGACTGACTGACTGACTGACTGACTGACTGACTGACTGACTGACTGACTGTCGTGAAGGAGTGCGCTCCCGCTCAAGGGAGACTGCTCTCGCTGCGCTCCGCAGCAAACAGCTGTGGGCGAGTTGAAAGTACGTTATGCTGGCCGCGGTGTCTAAATAATGCTTCCGGGCCAGCGGGCCATTTATAATGTCGAGCCCTGCGAGTCCACAGATTATATGGGTATACATTTCATCCCTGTGCAAAAACTCACTGTTCAATAAAAGAACATTTTACCTTGAAAATCAATATATTCTAATAGCCGGTCAATTTGACCCAGGTGGCGGTTTTAGGTATAAAAAATCTCTGGCGGTTCTAGTGTTAAGAAATGAAGGCCAGTCGATCTGGAAAATGTCAAGAACTTTGAATGTATCCTCAAGTTCAGTCGCAAAAACCATCAAACGCTATGACCTTGCGACCTTGCTTTCTTACAGTGCAGACGCTTTTCTGCTTGCTCTTGCCTCTGCTTACTTTTTATGCTGATTTTCCTATTTTTATTTTCTGAAAACTTCGAGCAGCAGCTCCTGGACATTAACTTATCACTGGGACAGTAATTCTTCGTAAAAAGACGGAGGGTTTCAGCCATATTTCAATATTTTATTTTATTTTATGTCAGTAGCGTGGCCTAGCAACAGGTAAAGCCTGGTACTGCATGCTATTTAGCTTAAGCTAGTTGGCAGCAAAATGCCTCCGTTCTCTACAGGTGACTTCCACAAACTTCTACAGAAGATGGCCGTGTTGGAAATGAAAATGCAACGGTTGGAAGTTAACGTGGAAGTGAATGGACTATGTGGGAAAGACACCACATTACCAGTGTTACAAAAGAATGGAAAAGGGCATGCTAATTCACAGCTAGTTAGCAGCTACAAGGATTCCAAGGAACAGGAGGGCTGTGTACCGGGTAATAAATCTACAAGTGGTAGTCCTCCCTGGAAATGTCTGGGTGCAAGGCCTAAGAGTAAATCATTTCCATGGGATTTGGGAGGACAAATAACAGGCAGAGCCCAGCGCTCTGAAATCTGTGATGTGACCGGCTGGCCTGCATTGTTATCACCCAGGAAGAACGCCTCTTCAACCGGGGCACTGCTAGACTGTAGCTTCACTCTAATGCAAAATTACATGCGCAAAGCCCCCACCTTTTTGTTTCACAATGAGTGTGTGTGGGGGACTCCCCCTTCGATTCTATTGGCTCCAACGGTCAGAAAGGTGTCAACCATCAAAATCGACCAACGGGTTCCAGAGATATGAAAAAAAAACATTTCCACCCAAATCACCTCAGAGGTTGAGTGGTTTTGGCTAAATCTCTCTAAAAAGGTCAAATGTCACTTGTTTTGCATCAATCTTGATACAGGGTACTTATTGTTAAGGAATAATTCTTCTAGATATCTAACCTTTTGCTCTGTGACGTTTTATGATCTACTCTGACATCCGTTATCTCCTTTAAGGAAAGGCCTTGGTGCCATATGTGTTGTCACCAGTTTGTGACCGGTCAACTTGTCTGGCACGAAGGGTACTTGTTGTGAGAACGCTGAGGCACTTCTTTATCGGTGTTTGTGGACTCTAATGGCGCGTTTCCACTACAGCCCGCAGCCCGGTTTAAGAGGGCTGTGACGTCAGCGGCCCGTCTTTGGTTGCGTTTCCACTTGGCCTAGTACCGGGCGGCGGGTCCTAATTCACAGTTTTTCTGGCCTCATAAAATCGTGGGGCCAGGGCCAGAGACAACGAGGCTGAGTCGGGCTGAGTATGCTAAACTAGAGAGAGCGTCGCTGGCAAGGGGGCAACAACTACAACAAGATGGACATATTTGACCGTGATTTAATTGTAATACACGTTTCAAAATGATGCCGAAGTAACAACATACTGATACCGGTTAGTAAAAACCATGAATTAATGCTTTGTCAAGTCTGCAGACAGACGGCAGGCGAAAAACCTTTTAAAATGCTTGTTTTCTAAATGGAGATTGGCTAAGCTAACGCAGTATATGATCCGACCGTCCACACTCACAACAACGGCCTATACAGACATAAATAAAGCAGCGACTGTATTCTCCATGACACAGGCAGTCTGTGGTTTGTACTTGTTTAACTTTTGTCTAGTTTCTGAACATATATGAGGAGCTGTGAGCTCTGAGTGCTAACAGCTAACGGCTGTGTTGTTTTTCTGGGGTCCTCTGAAGATCACGTCACGGCTCCGCCTACACTGCGTTACTATAGATACTGCCCCAGTTCCTAAACTGTAATGGAAATGCGCCATAAAGTGAGCCAGTCCTAACGAGGCCCAGCCATACCGAGCGGGGCCGAGCGAGGCCGTGTAGTGGAAACGCGGCATAAGATGTGAAATCCTTGAGGCCATGAGTGTCGGACGCAGGTGGCTCAGTGTTCCCAGCTGTTTAGTCTACTCCTTCAGAGATGTTGATTTCTCTCTGTGAACCAGTTCAAAGGTCTAGCATAGAGAGAGGTTCTTCAGAATTGACGTGGCAACTCTACCGTGTGGTCAGAACCTCTGACTCTTTGATTTGTGATGTGAATCCTCCGGCCGAATACTCTGAATAAACCCATCAGTGTTTGACATCAAAGCTCCAACTCTCACCGTGTCTCCTTCCTGAGTCGGTGACTCCATGCATTGCTACACAGAAGTTTCCTCCACAAATTGGCGTTGTCGGCAGGATACCAACAGATCTTCAGAAACTGGTAAGTGTGATTTCAAATCTACATTTGGACATTGCCTTACCAGAATCTGTGATTGACGGTATCCTAAAATTATCTGTGAAGCTAAGCGGCTGCGTTTCGTTTTGGTTAGTGAACATTTGGGGCTAGTAACCCCAGGGGATCATCCAGGGACTCTGTCTTGGCTGGTTCCCTCTGTGTGTGCTGCTCGGGACGTATGTGCCGTGCAGGCATACACGGAGATGTTTAAAAAGACCTTAATGAGGGCAGCAGTAAAGTGGAACTTCTGTGTGAAATCAAAATAGAGATTTGTAATGAACAAATCGCAGAGATTCCGGGGGTTTCAGCGGCCAACACTAGCAGTTAACTCAAGCAGCCAGAGATATTACCCCCAGCGCCTCTAAAAAAAACACGGCTCCTGCTGCGGCTCCGGGGAATGTGTGTAAAATACCTCCCCGTATCTGCATGAGCTGGTGAAGTGAACTCAGAGGGAGAAAGTCACAGCTTTTGTCTATAGCTTTAACTCACACCACCGCCGTCTCTATTAAAAACGAGACGGTTTAAAAGCACTCTCGTGGCCGTTTACGACGAGCTGGAAAGTGCGAGGTGCGTGCATTACCTGATGCGCCACAGCTCCCTACATTGCTGGAGGAGCTGGTGCCGGTCCGGGGTGCATACATAAAATGATAGGATAATTGATCATGGGTGGGCAGTGGCATGCAAGTGTAGAACAAAACTGTGTTTCATCGTTGTGATGAACATGATGGCGTGTGTATAGGCTGGTCGAGTAGGACTACAGTTAACTGTGTAGTTTCGGATAGAAAGGGTAGCGGAGAAAAAAGTCTATGCGCTCCAGATCGGGGGGGCATAGCACCACTAGAGCAGAGTCATGGGGTCGCAAGAGGATGAGCTAGTTATTGCTCTTGGACGGTCTTCAGGCACCGATCTAGGACTTGTATACAAGGGTGGGAGCGCGAGTCAAGGTGCCCCACTGGATTACCCATTGAGGGAGAGATAATTCCCTACCCCCTCTGAAACCTCTTTAATCCGGACTAAATTGAGCTGGATGAACTTTGCTGTCACGCTGGTGTTTATTATGAGTTCATGTTTGTTCGTCTAATTGCAGTGTGGTTTTTCTTGTACTAACCGCCGTCTTGTGCATGTTTTGTAACAACTAATAATGAATCAGTCCATAGCCAGGGTAAAAT